CCAATATAATGAAACCCTAATTTTTTGCTATTTGGATATTATGATAAAATGCAAAATAACTTAACGAACAAATATTTCGGAAGACTTGAAGGTCCTGAATGGATTTTTACCAAATTCTGAAACTCCTTAAATAAGAAAAAAAACCAGTCTGGGGGTACAATTATTTGATGTATAGTGCATGCATAATAGGCTCTGTACCCATATGAATTATTAGTGGGTCAGTTAAGTACAAATGAATTATTGGTGGAGCCATGAATTATTGGTGGGGCCACATTTTATATATAGTATTCACCACACTATACCTTAACGGACAAACGTGATGTTAAGATATAGCGCGGTGAATAACCGTGCTATATATAAAATGGTACACAATTTATTTATTTTTATCTATTTGTGTCGTATGAGTCCAAAAGAACCACACTTTGATTCCGAACTCGTAAATTTTTTTACTGTAACTTTTGTACCTTTTGCAACATTTTATTAATGATTTAACACTCATGATCTTGAGATATGTTTAAGTTATATGCTTTTTGTCGTTGCTAGAATAATCTAGGGCTGCCCGTAAATGTCGCCGGAAGTTGTTTTTTGGGTCGAAGTATTTTTTTTTTTTTACCAAAAGTATTTTTAAAAAAAAATTGAGGTATTTGGCCAAACTTTAGAAAGAAAAAAAATATTTTTTAGGAGAAGCAGAAGCAATTTCCGAAAAGCATAAAAAAATAGTCTTTCCAAAAGCACTTTTCTGAAAAACACTTTTGACAAAGTTACACTTAAAAACAGTTTTTAAAACTTGATCAAATACAAATTAATGCTCAAAAGTGTTTCTCAAATTAATTAGTCAAACACAAATTGCTTATCATTTTTAAAAAAGTACTTTTCAGAAAAATTTCTCAAAATAAGCTAATATTAGAAAGTTGGCCAAACAGGTTATAAATTAATGTCTAACTTTTAAAAAATGTTATAATATTGTTTAAAAGCGTTCAAACATCAAATTATTACAAAATCAACTTCCCAATCTAAATCCTAATTCCATTATAGATGTTTCTAAAGAGGTTCAATGTATATTCGTCGACAAGTATTTTATTTAACTTTCTAATGTCCTCCATCACCTAGCTATAAAGCACTATTACTTAATAGAGACAGAATAATCTTTTATACTCCAACATAATGCTCAATAACCTTTTTTAATGTCCAAAAGTAGAGATTAAAATGCATGCACCAAACATCATAAGCGTAATCCAAGATTTAGAAACCATAAACAGTAAAACAGCACAAAACAACATGACATTAATATTACAAATTGCATGCAAAGGCACGCAACTTATTATTGTATGTACTTTCTGCATTGTACTACGTACTACCAAAAGCTAACTAGTCACTCATCAGAAAACGCACACCAAACAACTTAGGATGAAATTAACTAGTAGTATATGATAATTTTTACAGTGTTCAGTAAAACAGCTGCTGCTGCTGAGTTGCAGCAAAGTCATCCATCAGAAAAATATTGAGGGGGTCAGAATCGACGATCCCTGAGTCTGGCTCTAAATCCAGGAATGACTCCAAGTTGGAAATCTGCTCCTTGAGCTCATAATCATGATGTTGAGGATCCTCAGCAGCGGGCATTTCCATGGGGTAGTAGGGTGTTTGGTTTTCATATCCATAGTTCAACATTATTGAGGCCGGTTTCTGAGACATTAAGTCAGAACGTGTGGGCTGATCAGGGATGGTGCTAGTGCAGTGTCGCTTGGCTGGTGGCGAAGGTGGCTCTGGAAAGTTGAGCTTAGCCTTGTCACCGCGGATTCGCTTTGCAGCCTCGTCATATGCCCTGGCAGCTTCCTCAGCCGTGTTGAATGTACCTAACCACACGCGGACGCCTTTCTGAGGATCACGTATCTCAGCAGCCCATTTTCCCCACGGTCTCTGCCTTATTCCTCTGTATTTGTTCTTCCTCGCCCTTGGGCCACTGCTCTCCTTCTCAACCTTCACACTTATTGTACCTGCAGATTTATTCTTTATAAGGGTTCCTGCTAAACATTTTAAACACAACTACTCTGGATTTATTTCACTTCCATTATTTTGAGTCTTCAAAAACCACATTAATCAAGTCAATTCATTTGACATCACTAAAGTTATTGATCAACTTCTGCTCCCATAAGTGGTGGTTTCATATGATTAGTTGACACGGACTGGGAAGCAAGTCTGTCACATGAAATGGCCTGTGCGATATACATGCAAAAAGAGACTATTTACTTAGTTCTATTATAATCCTAAATAAAGTAAATCTTAATTCTTAGTAAACTTGAACTTTGATGTCTAATTTCACCTTCTTATGATTTTACTTTATCTGGGATCATTTTTTTGGTCGATATTTGGAGCTAAATCGGATTAAATAATTAACTTTGGATTAAAAAGAAATTACACGAAATATATTACACTCCCTCAGTCCCGATTTACGTGGCGCCGTTCGAATTTTAAGAATCAAACGAGCTTTTCTTTGACCTTGATTTTCCATATGCCTTTTAAATATTTTGAAAAGTTAATTATTATGACTAGTTTTCAAAATTTTATTTCGAAATTCATGGCCAAAACTAAGAAATTGACTCAAAATCCAAATGGTGCCACAAAAATTGGGACAAGGGAACAACTAACAATTTTCCTCAAACTAATATATCAATATAAAAAATACAAGCATTTAGTTTGAACTAACCTCCAAAATAATTAAAGAAATAAAGCAATTAAAAGGCAAAGAAATAATTACTATAGGAAAGTGGTCACAACCTTTTTAATTACCACAAAAAAAAAAAAAAAAATTGTATATATAGCATCTCTCTCTACATACACACACACACACACCATATATATATATATATATATTGTGATTGATTTTCTTTTCTTCTCCTTTTTGTTCGGTTTTGATTAGTTCAAGTATGATACTAATTGACTTGAAAACGACAAGAAATTAAGCTAGCATTTGGCTATAGATTCCCAAATTTATTCTGAAAATTCTTATTTGGGTGAAGTTTGATTTGAAGATGAAAATGTGTTTGGACATCCGTTTTGGGTGAAGTTTGATTTGGAAAAACATGAAACATGACTTATACCCACAAGTTCTAAAAACTATCACAAATACCTAACAGTACCATTATCAATAACATTCATTATATTATCGCAAACTATAGTCCTGAACATAAATAAATTTGATACAAAATTATCATTTTTATAATGAACTATATGATACACTATCAGATGACCGAGAAGACGAAGCAATATCGTTACAAAATAATAAATGGTGAGCTCTTTTATAAAATATAAAAGTTTGGGACAAGTTTTAAAAAATATAATAGTGATATTTTGACCCAAAACCAGCTATTGAGTTGGTTTTGGGATTTGGGATTTGGGATTTGGGACTTGGGATTTGGCCAAAATATAGGCAAAATCTATGGCCAAACATGTGTTTGCCAAATAAAACCCAAGTTTATTTTGGCAAAATCTATGGCCAAACGGGTCCTAAATATATTAGTTTGATTTTTGTAATTCTGACTTGTTTTATCTGAAACAGAACACATGTTCAAATAGATAAACGCAACTACCGGCCGATACTCGTATTAATATGAGTTTAAAGAACATAAACTTAGAAATCACATCTTTGCAGCAATTTAAATAATGATTTTTTTAAAAACATTTAGAGGAAATCTGCGAGTAAATTCTTGTATACATCCTGATGCAATAGAAATACGAAAACATATGTTGTTTATGCGTGTACTAGCTATAGTCTTTCCCTTGATGCGTGTGCATTTATTCCCTCTTAATCCCAATGAATTTTCAATTATTTTTCTAATATTTATAGTATCTTTTATTTATAATTCCTTTGAATAAAAAATAAACCGAAATAACATTACCTGTAAGAAAAATATTACTAGTATTTGATTTAGGCAGTCTGTCCCATTTATGACACTGATTTCTTATTTGAATATTTTAAAACTATTTTAAAATGTTTAAAGAAAATTATACTAATATTATATTACTCTTGTGCAGCTTCTCGAGATTTTATTTCATAAAATTAAGGTAATAATGTACAAAATCATCTGAAAACTAGATATGGAGTAATATATGGATATTATTTTCAAACTCATCTTACTTGGATATTTTAAAACTATTTTAAAATGGTTTCAAAAATTTAAAATATTATATGACTCTAGTGCGGTTTCTCTAGATTTTATTTCATAAAATTTAAGGTAATAACGTACAAAATAACCTGAAAATTAGATATGGATTAACTTTTAGAAAAGACACAGAAAATCTGAAATAAAAAAAGATAAATAAATTATAAATTTGAATGTTTACTTGAGTTCCCAAAAATAGTTTGTTTTTACAGAAACCGTACGGGACACGAGTGTATCGCGTGTTAGTTCCGAGAAAATAATCATCAGATAAATATATTCTTTTGATGAAGAATCATCAGATATATAGTACTATAAGACTATCATTACACTCCTCCCATTTTGTTTATTTTAAAACTTATCATTTTATCCTTAATAATTTTACCCATTTATTAAAAAAAAATTATAATCGCACAAATGTTTCTGAACAACAAATATTATGACATAGAGTAGTATTTCTGATCACAATTTTTCTTTTTTTAATTTCGTGTTAAGTCACAGTAGTCACATACATTGATACGATACGGAGTGAGTATAACACAATCATATATGTGAAAGAGGAAGTATAAGAGCATTATCGCACCTTTTTCGAGTTGATTAAGTTTGCCGGAATCTGATTTCTGAGGCTTATTGTAGGAGTGGGTTAGCGACTGAACGGAATCAGATTTGCCGGCAATGGAGGAGGAAGAGGAAGAGGAAGACCAGAAGTCGGAGATAGGGTCAAGCTCAGCCCAGAGGTCACTAGCAGTGATTTTCCGGCAGCGGTTTCCGACGGGTTCATAGTCGGGGATTATGGCACCTCCACACATTTTTCTTTTTGTTATTGAGATGTTTTTTCTTTTAAGAGAAAGAAATGGAAAGAGACGGTGTAAATTGTGCTTGGGTGTGAGTGTTTATTTATAGGAAAGGACAATTGCAGTTTAGTCCTTTAGTTAACTATTAAAATGTAATTTTGTCTCTCGTTATAATCCAGGTAAGCACATCTAACCTGAAATTGCTTGGAATATGCACTTTTTGCCCCATTCCCTTCACTTAAATATTTGAGATGGTTTAATTCATCTTAGTCTGAAATAAGTCAATAACACCAATTCGATTAGTCATGTATCGTAATTTCACATCACTTTATTGACAACTTTTTATAAATATATTGAGAAGATAGCTTAGTATTTAATTCCAATTATAAAAGTCACCCCAAATACATATATGATTGATATTCATATTTGATTTTTTTTATGCACTCATTTCATTCACTAAAGAAAATTGAAGCAGTAATGGTAGCATCTCAATCAAATATAGTCATTCTCACGTTGTTTTTTATCGATAAAGATGTTATATTTATGATTGTGTCACAAATATATTTTTTAATGAAAATATTGTTGTTACACAACAATAACAATTACTAATTTTTTTTTTGGAACTCCAGGAAAACTCGCAGCCGTTATAGTCTATGTCATTCGGGTGAGTACTCTGTGCGCACTGGATAAACCTCCCACTGTATAATAGCCCGCAAACTACAAATGAGATATAAACCGCACAAGGCAAGCCATATGCGACAGGCTCGACCCAGAAGGCATTGAGGGGGATCGTTCCCAAATCATCTATATGGACGACCGCCCTCCAAACCAATTGGGCCATACAAAAGAGTTATCATATGAATAGACATTGACCACGAACTCAAGAGCTCAAAACAATACGCTATACTGTTAATAAGAGAACTTAGAGGCTAATAATAGTTTTCACATGACATATTTTATCTAAAAATCGATCAAATCCATGAATTAAGGACTAAATATATTTACTATTCGAGGAACATATTAAAATTTTCATCAATCATTAAAGGACTAGAAGTGCAAATTTCTCTTACAGGAATAAGCGGTTACAGCAATCAGTGAGGGTAACGACAAATCTGTAGCAATTTGGCATCTTGGTAGCAAGTGGAGGTAAAAATAATAATAGAAACAACAATCAGACGGTAAAGAGAGGGCCAAGCTAATTGGAGGGTGAGATCATGGTCGTAGCAAATGGACTGCTTTCAAACACTGCATTCCTTTCAAAACTCTTTCATCACTTGCATCATTATAAGAAGTCAAAAAAATTCACCCACTTTTAACTTTGGTTAAATTCAAGTTTTACCTCCTAAACCTTTTTAATCAGGGTGCATATCTCCTTCAATTGTGTATGGGGATAAAATATTTGTTCGTGGAATAATTTTGCGAAAGAGAAATATTTTAATATAAGTAAGAAAAAGGCATAAGGAAAATACATAAGTTGTTATCTGAACTTGTGTCGAAAAGTGAGTTTTCATCCCCAATCTTTACGAGTGTCATTTTTTCATCCTATACTTATTCATACTGAATTTAATTCCTCGTTACAAATACATAACTATTCTTGTGGAGAGTATTGTTTTACATGTTCTACCAGCAGCCTCATCAGAACTATGTGAGAGTCAAGTATTTTTTTTGTTTTTCAGTTATTTTTTCTTTTTAATGTCTCCCCCCTTTATTTACTATTTTTACACAAATTTTTCTCTCTCCCCCCTCCCCCCCGACACATATAGTCGTGGTTGCTGCCATCTCCAATTTTTTTCGGCAAACGAAGAAGAAAAATATATAAAACGATCAAATAGTGTTATTATTTGAGTTTGAATTGAAGTATAGTTACTTAAATTATTGGACCGCCATAACAGGCCCCAAAACACCTTTCCACCAACAAAACACAGGTTCCATCATGGACAGATCTAGCAAAAGGACCCAACAAAATAACACTCATTTTTATTCCTTTTTTCTCCTTGTCCTAGTTAATAATCAATGCCAATATGAATTAAGAAAATATTTTCTATAGAGTTGATTAGCTTTTGATTTTATGGAAAAGACAGTAAAGAGGATCACTTGGTGATAGAAGAAGAAATGACAGAAAAAGTGATATGAGAAATTTGGAGAATAAGCAAAGTAAAAGAAGAGTACTAAAAAGTTACTAAAAAGAGAGAGGAAGGAGCCAAGAAAGTACAAGTTGGACAATTAAGCTACTTTTAAGGCTTTTTCGACATTCTACGCTGTTTGAACAGAGTAACTTCACTTGTTGTACCACATTTCATTTAAGGATGAATTAAATTCAGTATGAACAAGTATAGGATGGAAAAACGACACTCGTAAAGGTTGGGATGAAAACTCACTTTTCGGCACAAGTTCAGGGAGCAACCTATGTATTATCCCTATAAGATATCCCGTATTCGTAGGCAGTGGCGAAGCTATATAGCTCCAAGGGGTGTCAACGGACACCCCTTCGCCCGAAAACTACACTGTTTAGATAGGTAAAAATTATCTTTTATATATATAAACTATCTATGGAGTCATCTTGACTTTTTCGTGTATCTATTTCATTAAATTTTGGCACCCTTAGTGAAAATTCGGGCTCTGCTACTGTTTGTAGGGTCCAGAAAAAGGCCACACTCTAATGTGATGTATAGAAATTATCCTATAGGTCATACAATAACAACTTTATTGTTGCTCCAAATAGTTATAGTTCTGTATTATATATTCAAATTTGACCCTATACTTTTGTCTTGTTCTTTTCTTTTCTTCTTCATTTTTCACTTTAAGCATTTATTGATCCGACTAATCTTTATTCGTGTTAAGTAAACCTACTAAGAAAAGTAAAGGTCTGTTTGAAAAGCCACCGGATAATTGAAATTGGTGTAATTACTAAGGTAGTAATTAACAGCCTAGTAATTATATAGTTATATAATTACGATAACTTGTTTGTTTATCATAGTATAATTACAGTATAATTATAAATTTATTATTTTGTTGCACAAGTGTAATTACACAGTTAGATTAAATTTTAAATGAATTAATTATCAAAACTTAAAAGTTAATATAGTAAACATATGCCTATAAATTTTTATAAGTATAAATGATATTATATTTGGTATTTAGGATGTATATTTTTTCGTGAATATACATTAATTAGTAATCATATATTTATAACTAATACTGTAAAAAAAATTATATATTTTTTAAATTAATAATATTTAGTTTAGACACTTACAAAAACTAAAAGCATACATTTTGTAAGAATATCATGAAATTGACGTTTGATAAAATAAATTAATATTTATAAATATAATGTCATAACATTATTCAAATATTTGACAAAACTAATTTATCAATTCTAACTAAAAAATGAACAACATGCAATGTGAGTCAATACTACTAAAACAAGTAAATTGGAGCCATGAATATAACACAATTCTAAAATTCAAAAAAAAAAGTTTAACGTATGTCAAATTCTAACATAATAATGCTCCAACTTAAGATTTGGAAACATAATAAGTTTATAACCACATTCAACAACGAAATTCCACTTTAATTGCATCACTCATTATATGTCAAGTTTGTTAATGACACATTATTTCTAATATTAGGAGGTGTAATTTTAAAAAATAGAATAATAAAATAAAATATAAGCAATTACATGGAATCACAAGAAGTAAAGATAGAGAAATGAAGATAAATAATGTACAAAGAAAAATATATTTTAAAATTTTAAAAAAAAAGTAAAAATAAAATTAAAAATTTAAAACAATAGAAATAAAAAGTTATAAAGAAAATAAATTAAAATAAAAACAAAAAAGAAAGAAACTAAAAAGCAACCTTGTAATTACAGAGTGTAATTACCACAAATTCTCACATCTCCCTTGAGAATTGGAGAGTGTAATTACACCCCTCCAATTACACTCAATTTCATGCTGATCAAGTAATTATTTGGCTAAACAAACATGTCAAACTGTGTAATTATACCAAATCTAATTCTTAGGTGGCTTTCCAAACCGACTCTAAATGTTTTTACTTCCTCCTTCCCTCTCTTAACAAACCACTCCAGCTCCATAAACAGCAATGCGTGTGGTGTGGGGCCAACTAATTGCCAGAAAACTCACAAGTTCGTCCATATGGATGTACAAGAATTGTACTAACAATTAGTAACGTATCTCTTAAGGATCCTTTATAGAAAGTAGTCGTCAATTCACAATTAAATCATTAACCAAAAGAACAATAACTCCAAAGGGTTGAGGGTTTTAGGGAATTATGAACACTTGTTGCTTAAAATGGTGACTAACTTACTGTTACAAGCTCATACTTCGTGCCTTGGGCCGACTCATCTGCAAATAGACGCATGGACGGAGTTCTTGATTCATATAACTGTTCGATTTTACTATTTATTTTTTCTAGTTGATATACATAGATTTATATTTATTATACATAAATTTATATATATATATATATTATAAGTGTGAAGCCCAAAATTGAGAATTGAATTACTAAAATATCCCTCAAAAATTAATTGACCCTTTTGTCCTTGAATAAGAAAAAGACCTTTCATTAAATAATTATTTTTTAAATTGAAACATGTGAATATAATATGAGAAAATTGTTCCATCTAACTGTAGTTATTGTAGGTGTTATTGAATAGTGCTTTATAGACTAAATTCATTCTACTAATTCACTACAAGACCAATACATTTATTAAATGCAAATTAAAAACTGTCCATTCATATCCTAGGTTTATCTTTTAGTTTCAGTTTTAATTTCTTAAAAGTACTATATATCTTGCTGCAAGAATAATTATTTTTATCAAAAAAAGGTGAAACAAATCAGTCATGTTGGGGTGAAAAGTTAGAAGTACGTTAGGTTCCGGCGTGATTACTTAAAAAGTTAAGATTATACTGACGCAAAGCTAAAATATGGTAAAAGAGAAGGTACAGTTTAAAGGTATATTATATTTACTAATTAGAATAAATGTCAAGAACTCTCATACATCTCTTTTGATATTTCAAACTGCAGTATGATTCTGGTATGAGTAAAATATCTGCAAGGGTGGGGG